GGCGCCGGGGCCTCGGGCGGAGCAGGGACGGGCGGAGGCGCCGGGGCCTCGGGCGGAGCAGGGACGGGCGGAGGCGCCGGGGCCTCGGGCGGAGCAGGGGGCGGAGGCATGATAGCCGGGACTGGCGTAGAGGCAGGTGGTGCAGCCGGAGCCGCGGGCTTGGTGTCAGTTGCTGGGGCTGGAACCGCTGGGGCCGGTACGTCGGCCTCCGAGTCCAGTAGGTCAGGCACATTGGGCTGGTCCAGAACTTCAGGCGGGCCAGGAACATCAGACGTGTCAGGGACATCAGACACTGGAGCCAGGATTAGCACCTCAGCAATGGGCATTACACCTTGAAGGGCCTTAGGAACCCGCGGGATAGCATCCCAAACAGACCTGGCCCCTTTAAGGGCCAGGCGTGCTTCCCAATAGGGATGAGCTGCAAGCGGTGGCAGCGTCGCAAATACGATGTCGGCTTTGGGTACTTACGTGTGGGATGCGGTGGCGGCGATGTCAGGGTTGAACACCGCCGGGTTCCGGATCGGGAGGGGCTCCTTCTGATCTCCAGCGGGGAGAGGAGCGGTGAGAGAGACGGCCCCGAGGAAGATCGTCGACTCCTCCTGTCTCTGCTCTTTTCGCCTCTTCTTTTTTCTCCGGCTTGTGGTTGACAGCAGAGGTTGGGTCACATCGGAGAGAACCAGCGGCTCTGAGCACTGCTTGCTGCCGAGCAACATTGGAGGGAGCCTTCTCTCAGTCACCCTCTCTATGAGATTTTCGCGTACCTCACTTATGAGGTGCACCTTCCCGGGCGTAGATATCCTCTGCAGTGGAGTCCCGCTCTGGCTGGCCAGGTTCAGTGCCACGGGGTCCTCCCGGACCTCGGGGGGATTTAGCTAGTATATAACCTCCTGCAGTAAACCGATACAATCGCTCTTGGTTTCTGGAGGTGCGTCTTTGGGGAGATCTGTCATTCTGTGATAATCGGTGTCTAACAAGCAAGCAGGAAGCGGGGAATCACGAGTCGGGCAGACAATGATCCAGAATACAGGGTTTTAATGGACTATACGGAACAACACGGTACAAACGTCAATGACAGATCTGGGTAAACTGACTTGGACGCAGACTTAAATACACAGGACTAAACAGGCAAAACAGGAAACAGCTGGTGACAATCGGGGTTTCACACGAGGTAAATGAGGGGGCGTGGCACACAGGAGGATCAGATGAGCAGGGCATGACACCTGGACACTGCAACGGCTGGCTGCCCTCATGGAGAGCAAGATGGGGGAGGTGAAAAAGAGAATTTCCCCCAGGGATTAATAAAAAGTATCAATTATTATTTGGAGAAGGAATGTGAAGGCACAGAATTCAACAACATGCCAAAGCCTTGTGGACGACTAAACACAAAGATGTGCGTTTAAACTGGTTACAAGCCTCTAAAACTTTATCATCCCTCTGGCATACGTTATCATCCCTCATTATTAAACATAAATAATTTCTTACATAATTCAAAGTAACACACACAACAAAGGGGAATGAAACCATGTGAATGTTTTGTGTTACACATTATCAAATTTACAAAGGTTTGGAGGGGCTATTGGGGTCAAAGAGGACACAGAAACAATGGTGAATACAGAGGATGAGGTTTTAAATCAAAAAATCAGAAAAAAACACAAAAGCAACCATGGCCTCTCACAGTAGATGTGGCAAAGCATTTCTTTACATTGCAAGCTGATTTTTTAGTGTTTGCAAGCTGGGATTTAGTTCCCTGTGGCCCAACGTGAGAAGTACCTGTTGGATGAAATTGAATGTGCTCTTCATAGACTTGGGGTAGTTGAGATACAGTGCATATGTAGGTCCAAAGGGAATGCACACAGCTTTTGGCAGGTCTTCAACGTTGTCCATCATGACTTCTCCCTAAGTGATGATCTTCAGTGAGGCTGGACTGGGATGGAGGGAAGATGAGAGCACAGCACCTGCATGCTCAACAAGGAGGAGCCCAATGTCGAGATGGCAGAATGAATCATCAGAGCCTTAACAACATGAGAGGACAATCATGACATTTTTCATTAAATAACCACCAATAATGTTAAGTTATATAGTCTAGTCATGGGAGAGTCAGATGAGGGAATGTGGGAATTGCTTATGAGTGTTAAAGAAGCTTAAACAAACATCACCCAAAGGGGGGTGGAAGGAACTTATTGCTATAAAGTTTTTCTTGTGTAAATGTTTAATGCTTTGACCTCCACAAAAGAACAACTATCCATCCTCATGGTACTGGGGTGCTAGGAGATTGTGGTGGACTGGAAACCTCACCAAATCCCACAGAAACTAACTGGATGGACAGACTGTACTAAGTGGAACAATATCTTAATTATTATTTCATTGCAAAAGTATGCTCACATGGTTTATCAAAGACAGGGAGAAAATTCAAGATTACGCTGTCATGGTCCTTTTAGATCATCTTTGCGAAAGTAAGAGGCTACTTACAAAGCCTGCTTTATAGAAGTCTGTGTGGTTGTCACCAAGGATAACAGGAACCCCTGTGAGCACCAGTGTCTGAATATCAATTGGCTCTTTAGTGTTTTGGAGTCAAATGACAACACAAGTTACATAGCGAAAATGACAAGAAATTAATAGGCTATAAGAAAGCAGAACCAACAAAGCACATAACTGACAGTGAATAGTTAGGCTACTCTGGCAACTTCACACAGTTGGGCTTTCCAGTTAATATTAGATAAATGGACTGTCAGTGCATTAATGGAGTTAAATGGACACAAACATTGCTGCTGTAAGCAAGGAAACAGCACAGTTCTACTGTACCCCCATGTTTTAACGTGTAACATTTTAACGGGTAACCCCCTTTCCCACAAAAAAATTCACACTTACTTACAAATCCACTGCCTCTTCACAAGAACCCGTAATAACAGAACGTAAGAAAACTTTTATTTCAATAACAGTTGGAGATACATTAACTCTACTGTTATCAAAACCATTATCAATCTCTGCTAAGGACTGACTAGTGATCTTAAAAAGTTACTGCTCTAAATGCAACAAATCACTCATGCGCAACCTTAAACACCATTTTAATCAGTACATTCCTACATCCTACAGACCTAAGATAGCCTTAAAAAGAAGTAGGCCAACACAGAAACACTAATGCTGATATTATAAGCTTTATTAATTAAGAACCAACAGAAATATCAGCGTGAATGCTAGCATTATAGCTAAACTGTGACCAGAAATACAGCACAAATATATGCAAAAACGTGTGCTAAACAGTGAACCGACAGAAAAAACGAACGTCATTAACTTTAGCGTTTAGCTAACTTCTTGTCACCAAACTGGTCTTTTGGGTAATCAGTTTTCCCAGGAAGTTATCTACAACTAGTTCATTTACACAATCACTATGCGATGTAATGTTGGTTTCAAAAACGCACAACTTTTGAGCACAGCCACCAGCAGGAGCGGCTCTGACCCCATTCGTTCGTGGCACGTACTGTATTGTTGCACCACGTAGTTCAGTTGAATATTACAAACAATCATTTTGATTTAGTAATAAGAACTTTTTGCAAAACATAACATAATTTTACTTTAAAGTTTAGTTAAAACTAGATCTGGATTTATAGTGTGCATAATTGAAGGTAAGATGAAGCCTGTTTACAGATGACTAGCAATATAAGAATTGCATGTGCATAACATGCGATGTTGGTATTAATACCCAGCCCTATAATATGAAGTATAAAAACGCCCATCTAGTGTTGTGCTAGTGGAAATCCAACACCTTACAGTACCGTACTTTTCATACCTGCTGCAGTGGAAAGCGCCCTAATATTATACCTGGTAGGCTACTGGTTGTAAGAATTTTCCTGCTCTCAAAATTGCCAGCTAAACCTATTTTAACACATTAGTCCAATTCGGGTAGTAACTGGTGTAATCTAGGCCATTAGAAGCTCAGATCGAATGATAATTTATAATTTTAAATCGTAATGTGTTGATTTTCACCGTAATTCATCTCCTGGCTACACTATTGAAATGTATGTAAACCGTACTAAACTCTGAAATCGGTAGGGCCACCTCTTCTTGCTGGGTCTGCTGAGCCCTGGTCCTGGTCATATATATTTAACAGTGTACGTCTGAAAATACAGGCCAGAGCCGGTAAGTCATTTAGGCCAGTGGTTCTCAATCCTTTCCCTGGAGGTCCCCACTTATAGAATACTTTAATTCTAACTTTACCTTAATAAAGGCTCAGATGGTTAATAGTGAATGTAGCAAGTTGAAAACAGTATAGGTTGGAATGAAAACATTTTGGCAGGGGGTGCTCCAGAAACAGTATTGAAAACCACTGACATGGGCGACATTAGCAGCCGCCTAGGGCGCCAACCTCTGAAGGGGCGTCGACTTGCTAGCCAATTCCATTTTGCTTTCGTCTCAGGGCGCCTGCGGTGATGCTCGCCTATGGCGCCACATCGGCTACGACTGGTACTGGTATTGTTGGAACTAAATGCAAATTATCACCATGGGAAAACGTGAATGAATGTTTACACAAGTCTAAAATTCACAGAAGCTGAAATTTAAAACTAACTCATAATTAAGTGAAACCTACTTGTGTGGATTTGTCTGAACACATGACTGCAAATGTGACATAACGGATTGAATTCTTTGGCTGCTCTCAAGCCACTTAACCGAAAACCATGATAACAGGGACACATCTGAGAAACAGAAAAAAACATCCAAAATTTAAGGAAATGGCTTTACTCTGGCAATTTTCCAGGTTACCTCGTATCTCCGTTCACAACGTGGTATAAAATATTGTACTGATTTCGTTTTCCCTTCGCCGGAAGTCAGATTTTCGGAGGTTCTGTTTTCCGGTGACATACGTGGGCTACTAATTCTGGTGTTTGATGTTATTTTTTTATTCGGATTCAACAGAACGTATTACACGTTTGTTTCTTTTTAAAGTAGATTAAACAAACGCTGCGAGCCCACAAACGATTAAATAGCCTACAAACAAGCTGAGTATGTAATATAGTCACTAAATGCGACGACAAAGGCGCACGGAACGGCGCCGGAAAATCCTAAACTTGCTAGAAACGAAATGTCTGGGGCTGCATCTCTGCAGTGACTAAAAAACGGGATGTTTTTTGGTAAATGAACCTGGTGGCGAGTCACGGACAGGGAGTGGAAGGGATAGGAAGGGGGGCTGGGGGGGCAGAGGAGGAGGAGGTTTTTGCGGCGACGCAGTGACGTTGCCCCTCCGCTCGAATCTCCGCAGTCAGCTGCGATGTGAGGTGTGCACTCTCGCTCTTGCAGAGACGGGGTGGGAGACTGAGAGGGACGGAGAGGAAAAAAAACACACAGACAGCTTCGAGAAAAGAGAGGCATCATGGCACCCATCGGTCTGAAGGCGGTGGTCGGCGAAAGTAAGAATGCTGCATTGTATTTTCCGCATCGTGTGTGGGAACAGTCTTGGTGTCCTTCATGTTTATCGGTGTGATTCCAAATGGTGATGCTCTGCGTTATTCTGAACGGGGAGGAATCTGTCCATTTATACGCGTATCCGCTCCAGTCGGATACGGATGCGGGTAATTTAGATGCATTGTACCATTGTGCCGCTGTGATCACCGCTGGGACAAGGCGCATTACGCTATATTTCCTCATTGTGGGCTCTAACCATGCGGACGGTGGATTGACTGTTAGATGATTTTGCGGATATTTGTTTATTTCTCATTTAATTTGGCTGCCGGGCATATGCTGTCTGATAGTCGTGCGGAAAAAGCTTGGCCAAGGCGAAAAACCTAGGTACGCCCATCTTTTCAATTGAAAAAAAAAAAAAAACGATTTATGCGGCGTTGTGTTGCCAGCCTATAGGACACCAGCAGCAGATTTTATAGACGATGTTTTTTTCTGACGCACATTATGTAGTTGATTAAAATTAAAAATTACACTTAATTGCCCTGAGGTTGCGAAACCTCACCAGAATGATCACCACCATATTTTAAACATACATGTATATGCACATATTATTATTTTACACACACACATACTGTGTAAAATATATATATATGGGGACAGTATGTGTGTGTGTAAAATATATATATTTATATAATATATATATAATATGACTGGAATATGCGCGTATGTTTGCTCCCTAAATTGCTATATTGTTTTGACCTTATAATCGAAACACATTTCTCCCAGAGATACGCCTCAGCTAATGGCGAAGTGTACGAAAGCGTGCAGTACATGAGAGGTATAAATAATAAGCGTGAAATGCGTAGTTCAGTTTGCGCTCAGCATAAAGCGCACGTACAGCCTCCCCCGGTTCACAGATGCAAACCGGACTGATTGATCGGTTGTGAAAGACGATATATTAATGGGAAAAAAAACAGGATGAAAAGTACATTTTTGTTCCTTTAACCGGTTATAGTTATGTGGAGCTCGGTTCATGGGCAGCGCCTCGGTGTGTACATGTAGTCGTAGTTTCAGTTTGATTTATGGGTAACTGTTATCGGTGTGGTTTAGGAGCCTCGCTATACATCCATTATTTGTGAGATTTCGAATAGTTATCCTCTATTTTGGTTTAAATTATAGTGCTAATAACTATGAACGAAAATACGCCTTGTTAAATGCGAATCATCCTACTGGGCTCGGTGGCAACAAACAGCAAATATTTGGCTTAAGAAGGAGAATTAAATCATGCCGAGTAAAAACGCTAAATTTACGAGGTAGGAAAAATGGAGCCGTACTTCTAAGTGCAGCTCTTCAGAATATTATACTTGGTCAAATGATCTTACAGCCCATTGCGTATAATTAATATATAGCCTAATTCCAAAATATGAAGAGTGTATATATTTCCTCCTAAGGGTTAGACGCAGATTCCCTCTTTGGTGTTATTTATGAACCGTTATGAAGGCACTGACAGAATATATTCGCATGTAAAAATATCAGTAATATTAGAAATGATACATTTGCTATATAAAATAAATATATGCCTATATGCCATGTTCTGCAGCAGTTATTGATGATCGGTCGACGGTAATAAATGTATTTGGAGTGTTTGGCTATATGGTATTAAGGCTGTGAAACCATGGGGCCTCAAAAAGGGCTGGAAAACAACGGACATCTGCTGGGATGGACTGACCCAGACGTCGAATATGCGAGAAGGCGAATATCTCACATTTTGCCGACCTACAAAAGAGCAGAAATAAAACAAATAAAATAACAGTGAGGATGTAGGCGGTGTGAAGGAGAACCGATGCATCCCTCCCTGACGAACGACCAATTAAGCAGACCGGTTAAAAAATTAACCGGAAGCGTTTGGTATTGGAGCGGGACCATGCAGGCAACACCGACGGAGCAGCTTGAGACGGGAAGCAGCACCTGGGCCCCGGCCTCAGCCCCCGAGCAGCTGCGGGCTGCGTATTGTTGTCACGGCGGCAGGTGCTTGTTTTAAAAGCGGCTGTAATACGGCCATTGACTGCGTGCGATGGGCTACGGTGCAGAGCGAATAAATAGCCACCGTTCACGGTTTGCCTTGTGGAAACGTGCAAACAGAAGAGAAAAAAACTCAGCTCCCTTTCACGCCACCGTATTGCGCAAAACACGTGGAGATGCTGTCGGTCATCAAGCCCACTTATTAGATTGGACATAAATATAAGTTTTGCATTTATGCAGTATTTTTTTTTATAAGTTTCCCGATATTAATGTATAGTTTAAATGTTGAAAGGCAGGTGGCGTTTCTTAGAGCGGTCGCAATTCCCCGTGATTTCAGATGATTCTGATTTTTCTCTCTCTTTAATTATAAATTTGACTTGAGCAGTATTTCATATATAAGTGCAAAAACGCACGTTATGCGGTGGCGAGTCCTTCCGAGAGGAAAAGCCTTGTGGATAATACCCATCTATCTATCCATCCATCCATTTTCTGTAACTAGTTATCCTATTTAGTGTGGCGCGGGGGTCCGGAGCCTATTCAGGAGGTTATGGGTGCAAGGCAGGGAGTAATACTGGATGGGACTTGAACCCATTGCAGGGCACACTCACACACCATTCACTCACACATGCACAATATAATATAATATAATTATACTGAAAAACCATGTTTCATGTACAGTGCTGTCTTACGTTTCCCCATAATAGAAATGGGGGTCACCTGGCTCAAGGAGATAAACTAATTCTGTAGTTAAGTTAACAGTCTTATCTATTCTCATGTGCAAGTCTGAATAATTGCCACTGAGGCCTAGGGTGACCTGGGGGCTGTGCGGGGGGGGGGGGGGCTTGGCCCCTTGAAGGCTGGGAGATGAATGGCTGACATTTTTATGTGGTCTGCCCCCCCCACCCACACTACAAGCATGGTACTCCATTCAAATATATTATGTTTAAATATAATATATATAATTCACGTAGGAAGGAGCAGGAAAGCCTGATCAGCTGACTGCCACACCGGCCACCAAACTCTTTTTTACTCGAACGGGTCAGGACCCTGTTGGGCCTAGAGGCAGACATTGGGATAAATGAGAAGATGCAGGACTGAGAAAGGTAGTTTCCCTGTTAGCCCTGTACATGTCAGCCTCTGCTGCTGCAGTATCGCCCTCCTGTAAGCCATTCCTCCACACAAGGTCCTCAGACTTGCAGAGGCTAGGGTACAGAAGTCCCTCCCCCCCCGCCTCACCAAAAAAACACACGCAGACTGCAGCTTCCAGCCAAAATCGACCGGGAGGTGGGGCGCCTCTGCAACCTTGGATCAGGTCACCCCCCCGGATCGCTCCGACCCTCGGCGGACATGCCGCTCGGACAGTTAATCTTCAGTGTAAATCTCACTGTTCTGTTTCACTGTTCAGCAGTGTCAAAAAGGAAATGAGCACCTTCTGTCTGGGAGCTGCAGCAGTGCAGGTGGGGGCTGCAAACTGCAATCAAATACAGCAGCAGGACTGGCCAGCCACAAGATGACTGCCCCCTGGCCAAATCTCCCTTAAGGGTGTTTCTTTCTCCTACAGCCAAGGGGCTGCTGTTGGTCTGGCCCCTCCCAGGCCTCCGATCGACCCCCCCTTCGGCTCAAAGTGTATTTACAATGACAACCATGACAGGGCAGAGCGGAGCCATCAGAGATACAGGCCCGAACGAAGGTGTCATTTTACTCCAGCCTGGAGTAGGAGAAGGACAGTGAACCGGGATAGAAGTGAAGGTTTCTACCAAGGAGAATAGGAAGGAGATGCTGCTTAAGAAAAGGGGTGAGAGGAAAGTGGAGAGATGGGGGGTGGAAAGGAGGGAGAGGAGGGAGGTGGAGCGGCAGATATTAGTGCTAGCCCACTTAATCTGACAGGCTGGGGAAACATTCTCAGTGGTACTGCAGCCGACAGCGTAGCTGAACACTGCATTTTTGTAAATGCTTCAGTCGGAGTCCTATTCTACCCCCAAGCCCCACCCACCTGAGAGCTCTCAAAATTTCAGTGCGAAAGCGAAGTCCAGCATGGCAAGGAATCCATGGCACAGTGGAAGCCATTGGGGAAAATGGCCGCCGCTCTTAGGACTACATCCCCCAGAGGGCCGAGGGAAAAGAGCATCATCCAATCGCCTACAGTGCATATGCTTGCTGTAGACCAGGGTTTCCCAATTCCAGTCCTGGAGGACCAGTCTGTAACACAGTTTGCAGATTTCCCTGCAGAAACACGCCTACTAAAGCTGGCAGCTGGCGAGCTGAGTAAAGTGATTTTGAGCAGGGAAACCTGGAAACCGTGTTGCAGGCTGGCCGTTCAGGACCGGAATTGGGGAACCCTGCTGTGGACCTTAAGGCTGTATGACTGCAACCACTGTTCAGATTTGTGCAGATATATACAAGCGTGTCTCTCTCTCTGTAGTGCATGGGTGAGATGGGCGTGACGTTGAATTACACCCTCCCGGGGTGTTTAGTGACTCACCAGTAATGCTTGGCGTTTGAGGTACTGTGAGCTGAGGACGGTGGGGCATGTGGGGTCCTCCTTAAAGCTTGGTGCACAGGCAGAGGCCGCGAGTCAGTGTCGGTCCCGCAGAGAGGATTTAAGCACCTCAGTGTCCCTCCATGTGGCTGGGAGGGACTGTTAATCGAAGAGTTATTGCAGAGTTTTATTACATATAAAATACAGTTATACCTTTACCCAGCGGGGGCCTAGAACCTATGCCAGGCTGGGCAGGGCACAAGGTGGGGGTACGTCCTGGTGCGATAGGGCGAGAAATAAATAAGTAAACAGACAGGTAAATGAATGAATGAATGAATGTGTAATATATACACACACACAGACACAGACACACACACAGTATAATATGTATAATATATATTGTTGGTGATCGATGAAACAGACTTATCTGCAAAAATCCATCAGGAGCGTGAAAAAGCATTTTCACAGAAATGTAAAGAGACATCCTTAGCATTACCAATAGGAAGA